TGGATGCCTTACAGGCATTGGTAGCTGTTTCTTCAATGAACAGCCCTTGTCAACCAGTAGAATCCTTGAAGGTGGATGGAACAAGTGTTTGAGTACCTAATTGGGTCTGACACCTGGGATTTCCTAAGTATGTAGATGTCACAGTTGCTTGACTGAAATGTTGCACAGATGAAATGCACATTGAGCAAAAGGCCTTCCTGCTGATAAAGGCTGTTTCCTGGTTTGTGGAAGCTTGTTGACTATATGCATGATAACCTGCACCTGGGATATCCAGAAATGTCCCTAAATCCTTCAGTATTCTCAGCCTAGCTGTCTATATTGATATAAGAGTGCACATAATTAGAGTCACTAATGCTAAATTCAGGAGAGCCAATCTTGATGAAGCGATGAGCCACAGACTGGCAGTTCCCGCACATATTTCCAATAGATTCCTGGAATGATCCTGAGACATAGAAATTCAGCACCACATAGATCTTTCATGCCACAGGCATTGAGCCATTTCTGATGTGGCTCAATCGATCTTCCAACATAGCACATAGCTCTGTGTCAACCTACCTAGAAAGGCTCAGTCCCTGGTGACACCATTACTCTGACAATTGAAGATAGTTGAGGTTCAGCTAGTAGACACCCTGTATGGCCAGTAACTTCTTCTTTGTACAGGAGACTGAATGCGTGCTCCTCTGATTAGTTTCATTTGATTTTCATTTGCTTTATTGTTGCCACATATACCTAAGTACAGTGAAACACTTTGTTTTATAAGCAGCATAGGCAGATCATAGCAAACAAAGACATACAGATCATAGGGTGCTTAGACAGAACGAGGCATACAAGGTTACAGTTACACAGGAGGTGCACAAAGCAAGATCAACATTAGGTTTGAAATTTGAGAGGTCCATTCAGCAGTCAAATAACAGCAGGGAAGAAGCTGTTCTTGAACCTGTTGGTGCAGTGTCCAAGCTTCTGTATCTTCTGCCCGACAGAGGAGGTTGGAAGAGAGTTTGTGTTGTCATCTATTCGTGATGTAGTTGTATACCCATGCCAATACAGGGTCTACTGATGTCTTCCACAGTGACTGGCAACTCATTAATATCCGCAAAGCAAAATGCATCATCCACATTGGTCTCTATCTCAGATGAGGATGCTAATCCAGACAAAGCTTTGGTAATATAATGACCTTCCAATTGCTTGTACTTAATGTTTTACAGTTAGGCAGACAAAATCAAAGCCCATCTCTGCTTTCTGGCTGTTATTGAAATGGATATTGGTGACTTTAGATCCAAAATAGCTCTCAATGGCTTATGATCAGCTTTGATTGTGTGAAACTACAGCATACAAGTATTTATGAAATTGTCTTGCTCCAAAAACAGAAGGCTTAATGTTTAGAGATAACAAAGTGTAGAGCCAGATGTACACAGCAGGCCAAGCAGCATCAGAGGAGCAGGAAAGCTGACGTTTCGGGTTGAGACCCTTCTTTAGATATGGGGGAGGGGAAGGGAATTCTGAAATAAATAGGGAGAGAGGGAGAGGCGGATAGAAGATGGATAAAGGAGAGGATAGGTGGAGAGGAGACAGACAGGTCAGAGCCAGTAAAGGTGAGTGTAGGTGGGGAGTTAGGGAGGGGATAGGTCAGTCCAGGGAGGACGGACAGGTCAAGCAGGTGGGATAAGGCTGGTAGGTAGGGGATGGGAGTGGGGCTTGAGGTGGGAGGAGTGGATAGGTGGGAGGAAGGACAGGTTAGGGGGCAAGCTGGGCTGGTTTTGGGATGCAGTCGGGGGAGGGGAGATTTTGAAGCCTGTGAAATCCACATTGATACCATCGGGCTGCAGGGTTCCCAAGCAAAATGTGAGATGCTGTTCCTGCAACCTTCGGGTGGCATCATTGTGGCACTGCAGGAGGCCCAGGATGGACATGTTGTCCA